GTCTCTTGAACCAGTTTTCTCTATTTAGGGCGATTCGACTCAGGTAAAAAAATAATAATTTGTAATTGGAAATAAAAAAATGTTATTGCTTCATGTGAATAAGAAAAACAATATTTTTTCGTTGTCTTGACCGATTAGGAAATACATCAATTCAGCGCTAAATTCTCGTATTAGCAACAACTAAACAATGTATTTTCACTATGAAAACTTAATAAAAGCCAAAAATGGTATYCCTTCAATTAATAGTCGCTTTTATTAAGTAGGTAATCAATATTCATTGATTCATTTTAAGATGACAGTTGCCTAGGGCGACGCTGAATCGGGACCAATATTTCWACTTCTATTAGCGAGACAGGAAACCTTTTATTCCACTCCACCGGATTCATTCAAATCGAAAGAATTTCTGGTTCCCACCATTACTAGTGCTGAAGAGTGCATTTGAGTGCATTGGATCCGTCTACAGCGTGAAGGACTAAAAAGTGCCSCTCTTACCAAATCGCTCTCCTAGACGTTTCAAGTGTTAACTAAAAGGGTGCTTTTTGAAGGTTCGTTTAATTGAATATTTCTGCAACTTACRTTATTAGCTTAAAGTACTGTGTGGCCTCAATAACAAGATTTTAAGCAACTGAAAAGGTTGTTTCCTAACTATAATAGTTTAATCTTCATCGATTAATGAGATTGGGTAATCATTTCATTGTACCAAGATCTCCCTTTTTTCAATTTATATCGATAAAATACTGTTASCAGCAATGTTCTTTGGCGCTGCGACCTGATCCATAAAATGATCAGTACTTCAACGAAAAAAGTGCAGTCATTTGGCTCTAATTATCATTGCTTGCCTTAATTGGACAACGCGACGTGTTCTACTCGAATTCTAAATGTCATGGAATTGCATGATTTGCACTCCCTGACTATCTCCAAATAGCATAATGACAGTTACGGTACAATGCCATTTAGYAGGTAAAACAACAAAAAAGCTTTTAGTTTCATTATTTTGATCATGATTGATATATCTATTCTAGTTTTTGCTTAAATACGAAAGCACTGTGTTCTGAAATGGTCAATGATGAAATAGAGAGGGGGTGGGTGGGGGTCTAATTAACATACTCAAAAGGTACGTAAGAAAAGAGGTTAGTAATCTTACGTTTGCTTTCCGGACGAAAGCCTACTGAGTATTGCGTTTGTTTTGATATGCACGGACTCTTTACTCAATGCGGCGTAAMATTAGTGCCACGTTGTACACCTAGCCCTCTTTAGAAGAGCAATAAGGGTAGCACTAAATAATGTACAACACTAGTGAGCTTATGTGGCCCTCAATCTAATATGATCTAAATACATTTTTATAAAATGTTTGATATATAACGCGCGCTCTGATTGGCTGGCGACCGTGTTTATATCAGAGGACAGAGACACGCGCGCCGTTTTATATTTCTTAAATAAAAACTTTATAACTCACAAAATAAATATTTATAATGAAAAAAATACTCAATTCCTAAAAAAATGATAAAATATTTGCTATTGTCCTATCTCAAAAAATATCATGAACTTTTATATTATAGATATCTTAGTACGCGCTCTCTGATTGTTCAAATGTTATTGCTTATTTCTCGACTCCGGCTCGAGATTTTTTACGCCGTTTTCGTTTTCTTCCAACATCCCGCGTGGTTTATTTCACCAGGAACGCACGAAAATGTGTTGTTTATATATTGCTTAAATAAATTATTTCTAAGAATTAAGATTTGACAACAAATTTTGATCATTTAGAAGTTTCTGACAAAGAGTGCTTTTAAGATTTTAGTGTCAGAGAGGTTTATCACATTAAAATGAACTTCTTTTAATTAAGCACTATTCCTTTTTTTTAATTTCTATATCATATCACCTTAAAATGCCTTCTTCTTCGATATGGCAAAAATAGCCTTTTGTCACTTATGCGTAAATTGAAAACAAGAATATATATAGTGAGCTTTTACTTGGACATGCGTCATGAGCACCAAATTGCAGTTAGCAGCTGTTTATAAAATCTCAATCAAGAGTCTTTGTAATTCTATTAAAACAGACAGTTGTCGCAGTTTTCGTTGGTTTAGGAACTGAGTATTTTATAGAGCCTTACCAAGGAGCTGATCGTTATCAAGTTTTTATCTCCATGCGGTGCGTATGCCTTCGATTTAGATTTTTGGCAAGTTTGTTTTTGATTTTTTGTCTTTGATTTTTTAATTCTTTACTAATTCATTTAGCTAAACATCCAGGAGCATATAGCTTATATCATTAGACAAGAAAGCAATTTGTCTGAGTAGATTTTACAAATTAGTACGAATATAACCATTTAATATCCTTTCTTTCATTTTTTTTGTTTCCCCTTTTATTCATTTCCCATTTTATTCATTTTTCATTTTATTCAGTTTTTATTTTTATTCATTTATTTACTTTGTAAAGTTATTTTTCTAGCAATGCTATCGACAAGGATAATTTTTGATGTTTTTAAAATATATTATTTGTTAGTTTGAAAGATCGTAATCCTAAAAATCCACATATAATTCAACACAAATTTTCCTACGCTCCCATTGGACCAATATACTATAATCTATCTGGGATAGATACAACTGTAAATATTATTCAGGGGCTTACAAAAATAAAGCTTAAAAAAGAACAGTGAAGAGGAAGGAAGGACAAAAATAAGAATCAGCAGGCACCAATAAGATATCTTAAGACTTTTACCACGAATTGGACCCACTCGTCATTTCAGCTTTTTCGAAAATTGTCTATCCTAACGATATTTTTAGAACCAACTGTAGATCATAGTGAAGTCTTTCGTTCAAAGCCTCTCCATGGTCCAGACGGCTTATTAGTGCTTCCTGCTGCTGTTGCCTTAATTAAAGASTTGATCGCTATATCTGTCAAAAATAGGCCACTGAAAAAAATTCCTTATGTTTTCTGAACAAACAATTATATTGCTAGAGCTAGGTTTAACAGTTGATTTGGAATTGAAATTTTCAGAGCAAGATCTTTGTTAYGAAAACATTTCGGTAAAGTTCAGGGAATACTATACCTGAATTACTGGGATTACTAACAAATGCCATGGCCACAAAATACATTTTGCGAAGTTTATCGCAAGATTCATAACGGTTTTTTATTTTTTTTGTGCAACTATAAACATTTTCTCAGTCTTAAACTAAAGAAACCTCGAGTGGCAAAATCATCCAATCAGACCGTTCGTTTACTCTTAACATTTTACCGGAATATATCAAAATAACTGACAGCTGTCTATCAGATTTATGGTATGGAGACTTCTTCAGAAAATTGAACGTTGTCGCTTGCACTTGTATATTGTCAAATCCGATAAATAAATGAATTACTATTACGAACAGTAATCATAATAGACTTTGGTATAATGTATTATTAATAAACATCGAATATAAATTACTGTCTAATTGGATAATTGTCGCGCTGAAGTAGCATAATAACTAAATCGGTAGAAGGCGTTATTGATGTCAAATTAGCATCACAATATAGCAGTTTKCCGAAAACATTATACATTATTGATTGACATGCGTTTTTCGTGTATTTTTTTAGATTTTCCGTGTAAAATATCATTAACAGMCTTCTTACTTATGTTGGCTCAAGACGCGCTGTCGTCTTATCCAAACAATCTTGGCCCATAACACGTTTAACTGTAAGTTTTAAACGATTAGAACTCGAGCTTCAAACTTATCTAACAATTATATATCGTAGTTAATTTGTTGATTTTCGATAACTTTATCAATTTGATCTGCAAAACGTTGAAACATCGGTGGACTTTAATATTCCGACAATTTTGACACCTATTGTGTTCAAATAAGGCTATCTATAGATGTAAAAATAATGATATGACTTGTTAGTCACATTTGTGAAATTATATTCAAATTTTTTATCTGTTATAATTGTTAACGATTTGTTCAATTAGGGATCTTTTCTAAGCTGGTTAGGACCATTCTTTATCAGTTTGTTATATCAATGATCACCTGATAGCATGCTCGGAGCCTCATCACTTTAAAAATTTTTAAACAAAGAGACAAAATAGAATTCAATTAAGGGAGGCCTACTCAAACGTTATGCCCACTCATTAGCAAGGAAATACGAACAGCTCTAGTATTTCAGTATCTGATTGTTAAGGTTCTTTTCATTTAGGGAWGAATGAGTTATTTGTGGTAAGCGATATTGTTATAGTGGAGGAAATCCTCAAAATTTACTGCGTTTTCRCTAATTGTGCTATATCTTTATTGCGAACATTTATAATGTGAACGTCTCTCAGTATTTCATTTTCGAAGTGCTAAAAATTTGACTCATTTAGATAAAAAAGAATGGGGCAGAGCTTACCACGTAATTGATAAACAATTTTGTCATTGGAGGAAATTGTGAATTGTCGACCGCTCTTCAACACTTAATTTGCCGCGTTTTCACTAATCATACTTCATTTGTATAATGCGTTATAAAGAAACTGGTGCTTGTGTAATCAAATCGAGGTCTTTGGAAACTTAGTAATCATTCTACAATTCTATTTCAGATCAAAAGCTGCTATTCTTGACATCAATTGTTTGAAGGGTTGCACCTGTTAGTGCTCAAGTGAATTGCATCTATCCTTTTCTTTGGTTCCCTAAAACGAAATTTGATAGCCATCGTCAAAGAGAGGCTTTGGTTTTCAAGCTGCTCTTTATTGAAAGTGAGAAAAGTCACATTGAAACGCAACCGCCTCAAGTAACTGTTTTTCAACRATATTTTGAAGACCAAATCGTGAAAGGGTAAACAAACACGGACATTGACATTTCCCACTGAATGAACAAGTACTGGAACTAAAACACTTTTTTCAGCATCTTCAATTCAAGATCAAAATACTGTAAGTTCTCCTGAAATAAAATCGCTTTCCTGTAAGCTTTATTCGCTTTATCCGATGGTGGAAATACAAAGAAACAAGTGAAAAACCAAACAATACAGAGCTCGTGCTGTTTACATAATCCAGCTGACATCTCGAAAGGGAAAAACATTTGCAAGACAAAAATATTGTTCTTGGAGCTGACATATGTCGCATTCAATTCCAATTTGAGTGGATGAATTTGAAAACACTGAGCGAAAAAAACGAAAAATCAGTGTGGTTATGATTCAGTGAAATTTGGGCAGTTTAATTCAACTGGTTGAAAGAAAACTTATATTTTTATTCCTTAAATTAAATCAAAACCTCAAACTCGTCATCTAGACCAATATGGGGCAGTACACCCCAGAAGCGATCGCAGAAACAACATTCATGATATTCATTTGTATTTTGGCATCTTTCGGAAACATTTCTTTGTTCATCGTAGTCTTTACCAATTCCAACCTGAAATCAATCTCAAATTATTACGTTCTCAGTCTTGCGGCCGCAGACTTGATGGTAGTTCTGGTCAGCGGACCCGTGACTGCATCGAGCATGCTCAAAGGTAAATGGGAGTTTGGAGAGACAGCTTGTACACTATTTGGGTTCATAACTTTATTGACATTCGTTGCTTCCGTGAACAGCTTAGCAACAATTGCGTTGAATCGATATTTTTTCATCGTAAAATGGAAAGAATACAAAAACATTTTCAACAAGCGTCGAAGTTTCCTCTATGGGGCGTGCACGTGGGGATTTTCCATCTTCATTAGTATTCTACCGCTATTTGGCTGGGGGAAATTCGACTATATTCCTGAAAAGTCTTACTGTTTTGTACTTTGGCCAGCAAACGTGTACTATATGTACTTTATGGTTATAATTTGCTTTTGTGGACCGCTGAGTGCTATGTTAATATGCTATTACAAGATTCTAACTTTTACAAGGAACCTTAAGAGAAAACTCTTCATGTCGAAGACCAATCCATCTTCCAAGAAAAAGTTCTTTAAGCGTGAGGCCCGAGTGGTGTCCCCTGAGGAAACAAAACTAACAAACACACTTCTGATCGTTGTGGCTTGTTTTGTGTTTTGCTGGGCACCGTTTGCTATAACCATGTTCTTTGACGTTTATCATCCACACCCTATTCCTCGCGAGGTACACGTCGGATCGTTACTTTTGGGATATCTCAATAGCATGTGTAATCCCATTCTCTATGGACTACGCAATACAAGCTTCAAAAAAGGGTTCAAAAACTTATACGCCAAGTGTTTGCCTTGCTTGATCAGGAAAGAAGAGGTCAGCTATTTTCAGAGTTCAATCGATGGAAGCGAAAACGACTCCAACAAGTCTAAGACAACGAAAGACAGCTACTGCTTTAAAAACAGCTTTGAAAACGTGATCGAAAACAAGGAAGTGCCTGCGGAAGAGCAAGAGTGTCATCATCCTTCTATTATTTTCAATCACAGAGTTTCTCCCACTTTTAAAGACGTTGGAGTTTTTCTTTCCGAAAAAAGAGTAACAACTGTATAGTATACAACTTTAAGTTGTTATCGCTTCTTTTGGCATATTTTTATTTTCATATTATCGAGTAGAATCGTCCTATGGTTGCTGGGAGATGATATATAAAGGTAATTAATGAAGTTAACAATGTCCAATTTTAAGAAACATTCATTTGTTTTGTTTTATTATAAGGATATTGTATATAATTAACGCCAACTAACTGGCTACAAGAAAAGCATTTTTGTATATCAAATATTTAAGGAATAAAGTATGGATTGCCATAGTTTATCCGTGAAATCAAGCACGCAGATACCGACGTTAGGGATTGTTCAGAAGGGTCGCAAAAATTCTGAACGTAGAGCGATTATACATCCTAGACGAGTAATCCAAATTAAATGAGCCTTTATTCTTATCAAGCGAAAATAGAAAAAATAGAGTATAATGCTAACCCATATACCACTGCAATTATTCTATTTTTTTGATTAATAATCCTTTTAATTTGGAATTAGCTCAGTGAAACGTTGCATGTTTTGAAGATGAAAACAGAAGTCACATTTGAAAATTTTCTACATTTCCCTTTAAAGTTATTTTTATTTAATTTTTCCTTTTCAATTTCCAGTGGTATATATAACAGTATAATATAATTTTTATGTACATGTAGTCGAACAAATTATTTGTTAAGACTCACTATAATATTTTATAAAAGTATCAATTGTCACGGAAAGTTACAGTGAAAAGCCGATAATTACTGCAGGAATACTCTCCTTTGTTCCCTGCGCCATCTTGAAATGAAGCTTTGCCTTTGCATCGAAGCGAGACGACCGTTGAGCGTGCAATAATAGAAACCTTCTTTYACACCTACAGACAATCATTCACAGGTTTCTATCATTGCACGCTCAACGGTTGTATCGTTCTGAAGTAAAGGCATGGTTACCTTTCAAGATGGCGCATGGAACTGTGAAGATTGAAGCAAGATATTATTCCTTTATCTGCTTAAAACACGACCACACCAGTCGACGTACGGTCTTCAATTCATGTGTGTTTAGGCTAGTTTGATGGTCGAATATTATTATCACAGTCAATACCCATAGTGTCTTTGGGTCGTGCAGACTCCAATCTTCTCAGCGACCATTATTTGAAATAGCTATATTGATATACTTCATATAATATATTGTTATTGATTATATTGTGTGTGTTGTAGAGTCAAACCTTATTGACCCATTCCCTTTTTCAAAACAGAGAGAAGGTCTGGAAAGGAGGCTGTTTAACGCGCGCTCTGATTGACTTGTAACGCGGTTGATATCTTTTTTTCTCTAAAAAGACAGATGTTTACCATTCTGTTAAAAAAGTTAAAACTGTGTATTAACTGGCATCCGCATCTGTCCTTTCATTGTTTTTTCGAGTTTCACTTATGGTTTAATTCACTTTCTTGTAAAAGGTCAATCAAAGTATTCTTTTTAACTGGAAAGTAAAACAAACGCTCTCTAGCGAGTCCTGATTTACCGCCACTTTTCTTGTTCTTTTCAGTCGTGGAACCTGCTACAACATTCGTTGTGTTCAGCGGATTATTCTGGAAATTCGGGCGAGGTGCATTCTGGATGTTTTTAAGAAATTTTAGTTGATGTGTTTGATTGGTACTTGGAGCAGTTTTGACTATATTCAATGGTTCCATTTTCGAGTTACTAGTGTTGATTGTTTTCTCATATGAGCTGCTCGCTGTCAAGGTATTATTTTTCGTTGCCATTGTCTCCTTTGCGTCCAAAGGACTGCTTAACTCCATTGATACATCTTTTCCCTCACTTTTTCTTGTCAACCAATTCTGAAATTGTTGTTTTACCAAAGGCAAGCCTGTTTCATTTTTTAAAGACAATTTCCTAGTGGTATTGTGTCTGGATTCYCCGATAGAAGTGTCTGGCTTCTGAAGCAAGTTTGCCGCATAATGTTTGTTTTGCTTTTCGAGTAATGAGGTTATTGAGCTTAGCACAGTAGCACCGGACATAACAATTGGTTGTATATGATTCCCTATGTCGCTAGTGTCAGCGTCTGATGCCGTTCTATTTATATCAGTTTTGTCTATTTTAGTTGTGATGTTAGATTTTGAGGTACTTGAATTGTCTCTTTGAATCGATGTATTTAATTTTTCACTATACTGCTTAGCTTCCAATGCAGCGTCCCTATGTGGTCTTAAGTGTGCGCGTACATCTAAATTGCTTAAGTCTTTGTTTAGTCCTTTGTTTAGCAATTGGAGAATATTTTTGGGTCCTTGTTGATCCGTTCGTCTTGCGTCCGTGATGTATTCCTTGTCACTTTGTTGCGTGACTGGACTATGTTGTGTTACGGCTCTCTGTTGCGTGACTGGAATTTGTTGTGTAACTGCACTTTGCTGCCTGATCAGACTCTGCTGCATAACTGCACTATTTTGTATTGCGGCTCTCTGTTGCGTGACTGGGATTTGTTGAGTAGCTTCACTTTGCTGCATGACTGAACTATGTTGTGCTATGGCACTCTGTTGCGTGACTGGATTATGTTGCGTGACTGCACTATGTTGTGTTACGGCTTTCNGGATAACGTAGCAGGCGTCATATATTTGACGCCGACATCATGGGACTTTGTCGATCGTTCGCCTGCACCGTTGTAGATAGAATATGATCGTGAGAAAGATTTAACTAACTCTTCTGTAAGCACAGGAGCGTCAATACACCTAGAACGGCGTACATATAATAATAAGCGTCTGCGTCGCGAAAAAGACTTGGGAGATCACACGATTATTTTTCTATACAGTTAAATTTCCTTGAGAATCATGACATGCCGTTAAAAAAGACCTCGCTTGCCTCAAGCATATTCTACTTGGAATGCCAGTTCCCTTTCCTGTGCACATATTTGATTTAATTGATTATGGTCTATCTAAACGAGAAGGCAATTTTACCATTTGATAGTTTTATTTATTTTCTAAATGAAAATAGAGTAAAGAAATCACAAATTCTCTCAATTTTCCCAATGAAAATAGACAAGAAACTCACAAATTCTGCGATTTTTGTTTACGATCACAAACCGCGMTTTGCATGACGGTATATGTGCTAAGGCGTCTTATCACCAACGGAGGCGATTTGTTTACTAAACGTGAAAATTTCTTAACGTTTGACAAGCGAGTTACATATTGTACACTATTAAGTTTGTGAAAAGGAATTGACAAGTAGGAATTAACATCAACAATTTCAAAACCACGTGACCACCGCATCTCACTGTTGCCAAGCAACAAGACACCAAGTTAAGCATATCGTTTGTTTAATAATGACCGCCTTAATGACACTGGCAATTTGGGCATGCATCCAACCTCTTTGACTGTAAAACAGATCAGACAGCCGTCTTGATTAATTTGCCGATGGCCTGGAGTCGCTAAAGGGTATGTATTCAAGATTTTCAAATTTAGTATATCAAATTTATATTAATAATGACTTATTGTTTTCAAGTTACAAAGTGACATATTCTACAAATATTTTATCATTTAAAAAGAAAAATGTATTTTTTTGGAACTATTTGGTTTGCTATTAAAGCGCGCAGACAGTTATAGCTTACGGCATTGAAGTAGAAGTGCTAGTCTACAACGGTTTTGTTGCACCAAYCGTGCCAATATATATTTCGCCAATATCGGATTTTTTGTAACTGATCAGCTATTTGTTTAAAAAATCTGCACATCTATATTAATTGAAATTCATTAAAAACGTTTCTCGAAACAGCAGAGGGTTTTTTGTTKACAACTCACATGGAGAAATAACTTGATTTAGTTCGGCTTGAAAAAAGAAWTATGTACAACAAACAGATTGAACAATTTAAGGCGATAAAGGTGACAAAATTAAAGAGTTAGCAAGATTTAAGCTAAAAATGGCAAAAATAACTTTTTGCATTTTTATCTGAAGTTGTATTTGAATATGTCATTATTGAAGATTGTACATTGGAAGTTATTTGAATACTCGATAAGTGTCAGTAAAAAAGAAAATAAAAACCGGTCTCTTTCGCAAGATATACGAACGGACCTGAACATATTTAATGGGCATAAGGTGATTTTTGAATTCATTTACGAGCGTTTTTATTGTTTTTCCAAACCTTAACAATACCATATTACAGCTGTTTCCTCATCTAACATATCCACAAAATTGAAGTATTCCGTTTTGGTAGGTAATACATTATCAGAACGTTAGCGATTCAAAGAAATTGAGAGGCGAATGAAATTTTGTTGTTCTACTGAATCGGTGAGTAAGCTGATCCGGTTCGTAATTTGTTGTGCTTGGTTATCTTTGCTTTGTTTAGTYTATCTGATATCAAAATGAAATTACTTCTATCRAGAACATTCTATTTATCTTTATGCCTCGCTTGATATCTTTTTCTGAGGCTGCTGTAGATTTTGCTTTGATAACAGAACTTGAACACTGATCGATAATAAACTACGTAATAATACTTTTTGACAGCAAAAAAGGGAGAACATTGAGAAAAAAAAGATACAAAATTATCTAACTGATCATAACTGAAAAATAACAAAGTAAAAACAAAGATTTTTTTGAATACAAATTACTTTTGGTTCTACGCAAGGATTTGAAATTGGAAAAAAATTGCAATAGTATATCAGGATATAGATTGAAATTTTGAATGAACACAGTAGGACTGTACAGGAAATACAAAATGAAACAAGCTAAGAATAAACCATTAAACTGTGAAAGAAAAATGAATAAGAAACATATACGATGCAAGATTTATTAAATTGCTTTATCAAATACTCTTCACATTGATAAAATATACTTTTTCGATTTAAAAATCAACAAGACACTTCTCTTATCGACATATACCGAGTCTGCGCTCAAATGGGATTTGTATCATGTACCCGAAATTATTGCAAATCATGACAATCATTGAATGGATCCATTTTTTTTGAAAAAGCATTTCATAGCGGATATTGTCGTTAACATGTTTTGAAAACGATGATCATTTTCTTGTAAACAAACATTAGAATACAATCTAAAATATCCCGATATGCGTTCACAGGAAAAAATACCAATTGTAAATATGTATTCTTCTATCGGATTTATTATGCACAAGAATGCTGTTCATCACACTGTAGTTGTCCGAGTTTCTAGTGTCGCTTGAGACTTGCACTTCTTCTATTTTTAACTCAATGCCATTTTATTCAAAAAGACGGGAACGCCTTACGTTTAATCATATTGGAAAAAGTATTTACATTTTATAAAGGTTTCCATAGTGAAACTAAGTATTCTTTTAACTTCTGTCAACTTATRTTAAATGCACTTTGTGGATCTCTGCGCCCATAAAACCTATGTTAAAGTAGAAAGAGGAGGGAATCATTATTTTCCCAGTTCGGGACCAGTGTAGACAGTAGTTTCTTATTTTGCACTAATTTCTTTTCAATAAAAGTTACGATTTCAAGCACAAAACGTTTAACTCAGAAGAATTAAAATCCATGAAGTTAATGTAAACTTAAGAGAGATGTTAATTGAGATGACAAGAGACCTTYCAAYTTAAAATGGTTCTCAGCGACAGGTTCTTCGATTGAGCAACACTTCAAAAGTGACACAATTTATGCTATGGTTGTCATTTGATAAATTAAGGCGCCAAAATAAGAATACATTGTAATTTACAAACCGAGATTACCATTAGATAATCGCTTTTGACTCTACTTTGACATGTGCACCCGCAAATATTGAAAAAAATATAACAATTATAAGTTTTTGTAGAAACTTTGACGCAAATGAAAAAGGAAAGAAAAGGAAAAAACAAAACAAAATGGAAATGAAATGGTAATTAAATTTACCAACGTTTAAATAACTTTATTTGATAACTAATAAGATACGTTTCCAGAAAAGAATCGCTGCATGAACACTATAATATGAAATAAAATCCAGAAAGTTYGGCTAATTGTTTTAACCTCGGGCATAATTTCAACGACTTAATTAAAAAAATGATTATGAAAAAAGCATTTTTTAATTTTTTTCAACATTATCTTTTATTCGAGTTGACTTGAAGAAATACTATGAAGGGTTTGTTTCTTCTTGCGCGCCGAGAAATGATTACAACGATGCAGATTTTTGTATTAACGTTCACGTTTACCCAAATGTAGATAAAGAATATAAAGTAAAAAAAGATATCTTAATTTTTTATTTTAACAGGTGTGTAAATGAATAAAAAACGAATAAAAAATGAATCCATAAATTCATTAGATAGTGCTGTAATGTTGGAAAGATTTGGAATATTTYAAGACAATAAGACCACGGTGTCGAGTGGACTACGAGTTGATAAGGCATGAAGCCATAGACGTGCCGCCGGCTTTTAACTCGTTACTTTACGAGAATGAGTGGTCTAAATATCCAGCAAACTTAGGTCAAATTTGACGAACAATTTTTCCCAGCATTTTCCGACTATTTTGCCTCGATTCGATGCTACCATGTATATCAGGTGCGGATTTAGCATTTTTGCGGACTAGTTTCCAACTCGAAAAATGTAGTATTGACAKATGCTAATTAATYAAAATATGAATATTTCTAACATCGGCACATTAGAAACCAAATGTTTATTTAAAATCAGTATTCAGGTTTCATGTGTGAAACGAAAACTAGTYAGGAATACATGTGCGAATCACTGATGACGTCACTGAGAAACTAGTTCACTACTCACGCGATAGTCCGCTGTCAGACAGCCAGACAGATTCTGGSCTCCAGMTTGGCTTTCTTTGGCAAAARWTTGGATGGGTCCCCTCCCACAAATCAAAGACAGCTAATATTCCAGTTATTAAATGTGGGTTTCCTGTGGT